ACATAAGACATGTTCAGTAAAATGTTAATAATCATTTTTAAGTATAGTAACAAAATTTAGTTTGCACAATTTCAAAATTATTTTAAGTTGACAGTTATTTTAAAAGTGTTACAGTAAAAAAAGTCTCTTTTGTCAAAGATTAATTAACATTATTTTGCAAGATGTTTTCCAAAATTGGAATATATTACCTTAGGAATAGAGATAGCTGTAAACAAAGTATTTATATAAATATATGGATATATAAATATAAAAACAAAGAATGTATATATATTTCTTGTAAAATATATTTTTAAAATACAAATACATTTTGCCTTTAGATATTCCTGATTTTCGTTTTCTTCCTCTAGACTCCTACTGTTATTAATTACTTCTGCCACAGGGTACTCAACAAAACAGTTAGAGATGAAGTCTGAATGAAGAGGAAATTTCTTAAATATACAGAAGAGGAGCAGTGGTAATCCTTTTAGCATGAGATGGGTAAGATACAGATGGGAAATGAGAACAGGAAAATTATAATCATGGGGGTCCCAATTCCAGCTGCACATTCTCTAGCCCTTGTTCAAAGTGTCAGGGTATGAAAAATAGAAACTCGATGTGTTTAGAGAGGGAAGTTACAAACAAGGAGACATTAATACCTATACACTATTTCCTGCTTGAACATCTGGGGAAGATTTCCTCGCATAATATCTCATGATAACATGAAAGTGCAGTATTGGTGTAAAAGTGACCATGTGGCATGTTTAGTCAGAGAAGAAGAGCACTCTCTTATTCTGTCCTTTTTCATAAGGCACAAAGGGATTTAGGAATTATTTACAGTCCTATAGGGAACATACCAAGTATGGAGATTGCTTGCTAGGGAAGTAAAGGAGTTATCTTGACTAGGGACAAATGACTATAGCCGAAGATCATAAAAACAAATGTTAGGGTAAGAGAAGAGAACATGAGTAAAAGTTTAGGACTTGTTAAGTAAGAGACAAGGTTATGAGTGGGTTGCTAATTGAATCCAAGAGAAATAACCAGTTAATATTCAGCAAAAGATGCAGAAAGAAAGGAGTTCCACACAGATTGAGGAGGTAAGATAAAATTTTCCAACCTGAGTCAGTCAAGTAACAGCATTTAGGCCAAAGGCCCCCCCAGTGTGCTCACCCAATCCTCAGAGGGAGATGTCAGCTTCCTCCTTAATGCAGGTGATAAAAAAATGACATAGGAATGAGTGGGCAGAGACCTGCAGAGAAAAGAATTTATCTAGCAGAAAATATTAGCTGTTGGGAGCCGGCCGTGGAGGCCTGCCTGAGCATTAGGGATCCAGGCGGGTTGCGGACCCTGAGACCACCAGGCTGGTTCAGGAGCTGAAGGCCCATTCCCTTCTCCTTTCTTTGTTGTTTAGCGTTACCCACTGGCAGGGACTTTTATGATCTAAGTTTTGAGAATATGACAGGCATGACTGACTCTAGAGATCCAATGTTCCCGTTTCTCACAGACTGTGGTTTCGGCTTTAAACTTAACACAGTTCAAACTCAGATCACATTTGGGAGCCTTATACATAATACAAGCTTCTTTATAAGATTTAAAAATATATTTATAAAATTAGTATATACATTTAGAAGGCTGTTTCCAGCGTTAGATGGTATAGATTATTATCTAGGGTTACCAGAAATGGCCCAGCACAAACTTTGGGCTGGGCCACATTCTTTAGGAACTGGTTTAAGCCATACTTAAGAGTTGTTTATAGTACAGGTAAAATTAGCACAGATAAGAAAGGTATTAGGATTTTAGTCAGTTATATTGCTTTTGAGGAATATAAACCAAGCATGAGGAACAGTGAGATAACTTTGGGATTGTCCTTCCTCATGCTTGGGAAAACGCCTGGTGGGTGGGGGATGTGCCTCACCCACCTGGCCTTGTGCTCATGTGAAAGTCTTGTGATTTAACATGTGAAAGTTTGGGATAAAAGACTCACGGCTGGTCCCAATAAGCGGCTTCTGCTCATTTCACTGAACAGTTGTCCACTTTCTTTCTTTCTCTTTCTTCCTCCTTATATCTATACCTCCATCTTGCTTTCTTTTAATATCTATCCCTACTACAGAATCGGCTTCTGCACTAGACAGAGTCCAGTCTCTTTCTTCCCTTCTATTTCTTCAGAATATTCACCGACGCTGCCCCACCTTCCAGGGACCCTCTAAATCTCTTTTGGGGGGCTGGCCCCCCCATAATCAGCTTCCAATTGACAAAAAGTCATTTGAATAGATTAAAGTACAATGCAGCAAAGATATTTTTCAAACTCAGAAGGATTAATTGACCTTTAAGTGGAAAGCTGGTTGAAACAATCATTAATATAAATAGGGCCCCTTGAAGTAAAATAACATATATTTACATCAATATATAATTTAAAATTCTTACCTCACACCAAGAACACCAACAGCAATAAACAAATAGAACAATGAAGAAATAACTATAACATAAAATGAAACAATAATAGCCCTGGTAAAAATGCTAATTGTGAAAACAAATTGCCCCATCATTATTTTCTCATTATTTAAAATTCTTATCTCAATTTTCTCATCTGCAAAATTAAATGATTGTGATTTCTCCTATGGAGTTGCTCTGAGGACTAACAGTGAGAATCACTACCTAAGGCTTCCAAGGTACTGGCATATATCAGGCATCTGATAAATATAAACTAAGTATTATTTTAATGACTACTATTATTATTTCAGTGGTGATTACTGTATTATTAATAATAAATATATCAACATTAAAAATAAACTATCAATTTTAGAAAAATCTTTTATAATCCTATAATATGCATGTTTATAACAGCTTCATTCAAAATGAGAACTACAAAACAGTAAAATGCTGATTAACTAATGAATAAATAATTTGGATTATTCGAAACAACAAAATAGTATTCAACAATAAAAATAAATTAACTACAGATACAGTCAATAAGAAATTATCTCAAAAGCATAATTGGAAGTGATACAATCTGGACAGAAAACACAACATTATTTATGATTTGATTTACATAATCTTCTCTTAAAGGCAAAACTTTATGACAGAAATCAGATTAGTGGCTACCAGTAATTTGGTATTGTGATATGATATTGACCAAAAACACTTATAAAGACGCTTTTGAAGGTGGTAAAAATATTCTATATCTGGATTGTAGTGGTGGTTTCATAACTATAAGTATTGTTTAAAGTTCATAAAATTGTGCCCATAAGGGGGAAAGACTCAAAAAACATCCAGAATTTATTTATTAAAAAATATGTATTTATTCTTTCATGTTTAAACTTCAGTCATCTTTAAAGAACCCTCCATTTGATACAATACACCTGTTGAGACGCTTTTTCCACTGCTCAAAACAGTTTTTGAACTCATCAGTTTTGATGCTTTTTATTACTTCTGTCTTTTTTGTTTCCCCTCTCCCACATTGGCAAAACGTTAACCTCTGAGGACTTTTTTTCCATCTCGGGAAATTAAAAAAATACCTCAAGGTAAGATCAGGTTAATAGGGAGGGTGGGCCATGAGAGTCATGCTGTTTTTAGTCAAAAACTACTGAACACTCAACTCAGTGTAGACAGGTGTACTGATAAATCACTCATCACGAAATGGGCAAACGCTTGAAAGAATCTAAAAAAAAAAAATTCACTGAAGCCGAATACAACCTCTCACAACAATACTAACTGGTACACTGATGCCAATGGGTTCCTAGAATACTTACCTAGCTGGGGACCTATTCTCCAAAAGACAATTCCAGGTTTTTTGGGGTCCCACTTGTATATATAATAGGAATGCATTAATGTTTGTAGTTATGCTTGAAAATATACCTCAAAATATTAAATAAATTATATACATATCATTGTGAAAATGATATATTGAAGATATTTACACATACCAACAAGAGTCCAGATATGTGCAGTTTATCATTATTAACAAGTTATTCTGGTATGTTTTCTACTATTAGTTTTTATATACATATTTTATGATGTTGTATAACCATTTAAAAACTTCATACTGAAAAGAAGTACGGAAGAATGATAGAAAGGACGGCTGTCATGAGATTTGAAACTAAAACAAAGAATATATCCAAATCCTATTACATACTACCTTTTCCCCTCTCCCACACTGACAAAATGATTCCCTCTGAGGACTTTTTTTCCATCTTGGGAAACTAAAAAAATACCTCGGGGTAAGGTCAGGTGAATAGGGAGTGTGGATCATGGGAGTCATGCCATCTACCAAAATAACATCTCCCTCAAAGCCTTGACAGAAAGATTAAATTAGATATATATTTACATTTCATGGTAATAGTAACAATCTAGACTATTTTTTTAAAATCTAAGGCAAAGGATTTAAGTGTGATAAGAACATATGAAAGTATAGACTCAATATAAACATTTAAAAATGATTCGTAACATTTCCAAATTGATAGAGGAAATATTGTTTGGCTGGTGGAAAACGTAGCATCAAGATTACTTTTTTCATGTTTGTTTTATTACTTTTTAAGCAATCCAAATAGTTCAGTCTCTCTATGATATTCACATCACTTTGGCCATGATGTTAAACTAGCAAGAGTTATAAATAAACAATAAATAAGAATGTTGCTTAGAGTAAAAAATGGACTACCAAAATGGTTGATCTTTTAGTAGTTACTTGAAGAACTTTAGTCAGCAAATTTTACTTTTTCCATAATGAGTAGATTCAAAAATATCCTCAATCAACTAGCCATCTTAAGGCATACATTTTAATTGCTAATCTGCCTCAGACATTAATATAATTGTCAGTCCACTGTACATGTACTTTCTGATTTATAAAATTGATCACAATATAACACGTCAATTTCACCGACTAATAATCATGTGACAAAATAGAAACAAAAGTATTTGCAATATGAAAGTATTATTAAAATAGACATCATTAGATCTACTTTTATATACTTACTGACTTCGATTCCTTTTAACTTTACTTGTCTAAATAAATTCACATTGATCTGAAATTAGGCTCCTTCCAAGCAGAACAATCTCTGGACTCTCCTTCGTATCTGTTGTGTCTTGATACTATAAATAATAGGGTTCATCATGGGTGGAAAAAGGATATAGATGTTGCCCATGAGGACATGAACCAGTGGTGAAAGGTGTTTTCCAAAGCGATGCACCATGGTCAGACCAATGATTGGGATGTAGAAAACCAAAACAGCACAGATGTGAGATACACAGGTCTGCAAGGACTTGAGTCTCTCCTCCCGGGATGCAATGGCTAAGACTGTATGTAAGATCATGATATAAGAGATAAGTATGAGCACTGCATCCAATAATAGGTTGCTGATCACCAGGGCCAGCCCGTAAATGCTGTTGAAGCGAATGTTTGAACAGGCCATTCGAATTAAGTCTTGGTGCAGGCAGAAAGAGTGAGAAAGGATGTGAGGACGGCAATAATTCAAGAACTTCAGGCGGATAATGACTGGAGGTATGAGTAAGGAACTCCTACATAAGATTGCCACCCCAATTCTCACAATTCTATCATTAGTTAGGATGGCAGAGTAACGAAGTGGGTTGCAAATTGCAATGTAGCGGTCAAAGGCCATAGCGAGGAGGACAGAGGACTCCATGAAGGACAGACCATGGATGAAGTAGGACTGGGCAATGCAGGAATCCAGGCTGATCTCCCGAATGAGCCCCCACAGGATCCCCAGCACCGTGTGCACGGTGGACAACCCCATGCACAAGTCGGTGAGGGCCAGCATGGCCAGAAAATAGAACATAGGCTGATGTAGGCTTGACTCAGTCCGTATCACATGAAGCACCATGCAGTTTCCCAGAAAGACCATAGCATAGATAGAGAAGAAGGGGATAGAGAGCCAGAGATAGTGAATTTCTAGGCCAGGAAAACCAGTGAGAACAAATCTGGAACTATTGAAGTCTGTGATAGAGAAATGAGACATTAAAAAGGGATCAAAAATATTTCTAGAAAAATATAAGTTTCATAGGTTAGTAATCCTCTAATATCTAGTGATATCGATCTGCTTTGGGAAAGAAAATAAAATATAATACAATTTCCATGAGTGGCATACATTCATTAAAATAGAGATCTGGTTCTTTGTCCTTTAGAGAAAAAACAGGTTGTCTAGACATATAATTTCCAGTGCTAGTGGCTAGGGGTGACAGAAGAGTAGAAACTTTTATGCAGAAACAATACTGCTAATGGTCATATGGGATTTAGGTCTCAGACCAGACTGCTGGGACTCTCTGTTCATCCCAAAAGGAGAAAAATGTATAATTTCAGATGTGTACTGCTGCATATCTGGCATTACTCTCAGGAGGATGGGATATTAGATCATTTTTATTGGCTACTGTAGCTGTTTCTTTCACTTCCTCCAAAGGATCCTAAGTTTCCCTCAAAAAGGGACTGGCTAAAAGTAACCAAACTTTGCAAAACACAAAAATTTGTCAAGAGAAACAATAAAAGCTAAGTGGAATCAGGACATTTTTGCACATTGCACATTGTTTATCATCTCCCTAAATTATTCACCCATTAAAAATTGGACTTTATTTTCTTTTCTATTTTCATGCATCTTTTTATACAGTAATTTCTATTGTTATCTTTTTATCCTACACTTCATAATTTCTATTTTTCTGAATCTCACAATATGTTATTTCTTATGTCTTTCATACATAAGATAACCATAACTGGCATGTATTTTAAATGAAGAATTACTAAACAAATATTTGATACTATTCACTTTATCTATGACAATGTTAGCTCTTACCTGGAGAATAAAATCAGTTATGCATGCTTACCACATTTTTATAATAACCAAATAGTAATAAAGTAGTCTATCTAAGCCTAGACTCCTGTAGCTCTCTGTCTACTACCCAATACTTTCAGCATCTCTCCCATATTAAATAGAAAAAGCAATATGATGTAAGGTCCTTTGGTTATGAGATTTTATGAATAAATAGAGGATATCAGAATACAAATGGAGTTTTACAGAAGGCTACTAAAATGATTTCTGTAGTTGGGTAATTGAGAACTATTTCTAGGAGGGAGTGATTTTCTTTTCAAATAATGATAAATGTATCAATATAATAAAACTAATTTATATGAGTGCCTAGACATTTTCCTTAGTATACAGCTGAGATTGTAAATAATAGCCTTGGAAAAGGGGAGTTAATAAATCTAATAAATATAAAAATGACATTGAACTGAAATTACATTCAAGGTATACTATTTTTACTTGATAGGGAGTCAGTCAAAGTAAACATTTCTATGAATCTATTCCTGGCCTCTAAGGGCAGGATGAATTCTTTCTTTCCAAGATAATTTACTTATTTTTCTAACATAGAATTAATTACATAGAGCCAGGTGTGGTGGCTTCCACGTATAATCCCAGCACTTTAGGAGGCTGAGGCGGGAGGATTGCTTGAGGTCAGAAGTTTAAGATCAACCTGAACAATATAGTGAGATATCCTCTCTACAAAAAGTGAAACAAAATATAATTGAGCATGGTGGGGAAGGCTGAGGTGGGAGGATCATTTGAGCCCAAGAGTTGGAGACCAATGTAGGCACAAGAGCAAAACCTTATCTGTATGTGTGTGACTGCACACACACACACACACACACACACACACACACACACACACACACACGCACACAAATTTGCTGGGCATGGTGGCACACACTTGTCCCAACTACTTGGGAGGTTGAAGTTCGAGGATTTCTTGAGCCCAGGTGTTCAAGGCTATGGTGAGCTATAATTATGTCACTCCACTCCTGCCTGGGCAAAGAATGAGAACTTGACGAAAAAATAATAAAATACAATAAAATAAATGTCATAATTGTTCAACTCTTTTTTAATGTGTGTCTCCTTGCTATTTTGTGAAATGTGGTTGAAAGATATTTTATACTTATATGCATCTAAATATGGTGCTTGACATAAGTAGATAGTACATGTTCACTGAACAGAGGCATACATTAGTTATTGTGAATTCCATGGTCTCTCCTATAATAATTTGTTTTGATAGGTATATTATATGTTCTGGGTTAGAAATCTTCGTAAGTGTATAAATCATCGCATGCCACTTCTTTAAATTAATTGTTTCCACACATGTCTCTGAAGTCAAGTATAGAGATTTCTCATAAAATTAAAAATATAGCCACAGTATTACTCATTAATTGCACTTCTGAATTCATATTTAACAGAAATGAAATATGAATCTCAAAGAGAGATTTGCACTCTCACTTCACTGTAGCATTATTCACCATGGTCAAGCTATAAAAACTACATATGTTCATTGACAGATTAATAGCTGAAGAAAATTTAGTATATTTATACAATGGAGTATTATTCATCTTAACAAAGAAGAAAAATCCTGCCATTTGCGACAACATGAATGAAACAGGAACCTTATACTAAGTGAAATAGGCCAGACAAAGAAATACAAATGTTTCATGATATTGCTTACATGTAGAAACTAAAAAGGTCAAACTTTGAGAAACAGACTGTTGAATGGTAGCTGCCAGGGACTGAGAAGCAAAGAAAATGGGGAAATGTTGGTCAAAGGATAAAATTTTCAATTAAAGGTGAATACATTCTAGGTATCTAATTTACAATCTGGTAACCATAGCTAATAAGAATGTATTTTATTACTGACATTTGTTAAAGCAGTAGTTCTAAAGCTTCCCCCCCACACACAAATGGTTACTATATAAAGTGAAGGATATGTTGATTAGCTCAATTGTGAAAATTATTACATACAATATATTTATATTAAAACAACACATGTATACCTTAAACTTATATAATTGTTTTGTTTATTAATTATAACCCCAATAAAGCTAAAACATGCTACTGGGTTATTGGGCATCCATATACAGTAATGTTTTTGGTATTTCAATCTAGATTTTATCTTTTGTTTTAAAAAATAATTCTCTTGGGCTGGGGTGAGGTAAAAATAAATACATAAATAAATAAAATAATTAACTTTATTTTACTAGACTGAAGGTTACTAATGAATGTTGGTTACATGACTGCTTTGTATAGTGGTGAAAATGTCTGGACTGTTAGTATACCAGTCACCCTCACTGAAGCACTTTGTACCTAATAGGTAATTTTTCATCCCTTTCCCCTTTCTCACGCCATCCTTCTGAGTCTTTAATGTCCTCTGTGCCATTCCATATGCCTTTTGTCTGCAGTAAATTTTGAATATACAAACAGATGAAACATCATTTCCAAAGTGGATCATAGACCTAAATGTAAATCACTAAGAAAATATAGGGGAAAATATGTGTGCCATTGGGCTTGAAAATCAAATTCAGTAAAGAGTACTTATTTATTTTTTCCTGCAACTACAAAATTACAGTAGTACTTTTTGTCTTCAATCTCTTTGTGTGGCGTGTTACATTGATGTTTTTAGGTTAAAACAGGTGGATTGTTTTTCCTGAGCTATTTATTTTATATTTTTAGCAACTATCATCTTGAGGAATATTTATCTGCATTTTAATTTTATTTTAAAGCAGTCGCCTGACTTTGAAGATACCCTTATAGAATGAGTTGTAATTTTCCACATACATCTATTTTTCTGGGAGATTTTGTGCAGAATTGATATGACTTTCTTCTCCAATTTTTGGTGAGAATCACAAGTGAAGCAAAAACAGTACCTGGAGATTCCTTTGTGAGAGAATTTATAACTCAACATTTAATGACTTTAATAGATTTAGTTATAATTGTTATCTATTTATTCTTAAAAGCAGTTTATATCTATTATTAAACTTCTTCAGTTCTTTTAAGGTGCAAAAATTTATTGACAAAAGATTGCTCACAATATTTCATTATTATTTTTTTAATATTAGCACAATCTGAAGTAAATTCTATTGGTATTCTAATTCTAAAAAATTTTCATTGATATTGCTGTGTTATTTTTTGTATTCTATTTAGCTTGTGCCTGCTCTGACATTAGTTATTTCCTTTATTCTTCTTACCATATATTTAACTGGTAATTTTGTCTTTTTTTGTTTCAATTTGATTTTTATTGTTATATAAATGTTCATTGATCTTTTTTACACTGTCTAATCTGCTTTTAATATTATTTAATGTATATTTCATCTAACACATTTTAGTTTTCATTTCTAGAAGCAATAATTAGGTCTTTTTTATGTCTTTCAGGTCTTTACTTAAATATGTGGGTATAAAAAATACCACTTTAGTTAAAATGTGGGTTTTCATCTGCTATTTTTAACATTAATGCCAATTTTGGACTGGAATACATTGATTTTACTCTGTATTAAATGGCATTCATTACTTTATGCATGCATGCTATTTTTTATTGAATGTCAGATATTGTGAAATTTACTTTGATAGCTGCTAGATAATTTTATGTTTCTATATACACTGGTTGTCTTCTCATCATTCAGAGTGAATTATTCTTCCTTTCAGTTTCCTATTTCTGTTATGTGCTCTCGTAAATTCCTTAATGCAGTAAGCCAGAGAGGTTTCATTTTATTATTTATTGTGTCTCAGAGATCTTCATTCTTCATTTATTTTTCTTTTCTCATTCTGTCTACTACTGTCAGAGAAGTGTGGAGGTCTTCAATTATAATGTAAATTATTATATTTCTCCTTTGAGTTTGTTTTATTGTTTTATATTGCTTCAAATTTATGCAATCTGAAGCTGTGTGGTTAGATTCATATACACTTAGGATTGTATATCTCCTTGAGAATTGATACTTTTATAATGATGTAATATTGGTTGTTAACCCTAATAATATTACTGGCTGTGAATTTTCTACTTTGTGTGATGTACTTTCCAGCTACCTTTTGGTGAGTACCTTCAAGTCATTTATTTTCCATTCTCTAAATTTTATCTTAATTATACCTTATATTTATTATTATGAATAACTATTATAGTAGTAGCAGCAGTTAAATTATTATTTTTCAATCAGAAT